GAGACGAATCAATCAGCCGTAGGCTAGCCAATTTTCTGACCAACTCTATCTCTCTTTTTTTTCTCTATGTCTCTCTTCTTTCTCTCTCTCTCTCTCTCTATCTATCTCTGTCTCTCTCTCTATCTATCTATCTATCTATCTATCTATCTATCTCTCTTTCTTTGCCATACATCTTTGTCTGGAATCTCTCTGTATCTGACTCGTTGTATATTTGCTTACTGCAGGCGACGGCTGTTTCTACATCGGCATGGGAGGTAAAAGCGCGAAACCCAAGATTCCCTCCTATGAGCCCTACCAGTGCTGTCCTGCCAAGGTCGCCCACGGCACCAAGGTCGCCAAGGTTACGAAAATCCCGGTGACCAAGGACAAGGGCAAAGTACATGAGAGGTCCGAAAAGCTGGGACTGCCCGGCCTGAAGCCGATTAACAAGCTCACCGCGAAGGACAGCAGAAAAACCGCGACGGTGTCACCGGGGGTTAGCAAAACTGGCGGCAGTGAGCAGAAGGCCAAGAAAGGATTCTTCGGAAGCGGTAAATATCTCAAGTGGCTGTGATAGTCGCGGGATTAAATCACTGCCCATCCACGTCGAGGACCGGACTAAACGAACCGACATTCTTCACGGAAGAGTCGTTGAACCGAACGGTGGTAACTTCACGGAGCAAACGGTCGAAGGATCTCTAACGAAGATGATAATACGTAATCGTGCGTCGTACGTGTGGTATGGGTGAACTACGAGGCTAAAGGAAATCAATGTCCACGTTGGGTGGGCAGTGATTTAATTGGCACCGTAGGGAACACGTAGTAGAGGGTGCTAGAGATATAAAGGAAGTGACAGCCGATCTGTGTGAAGACGGGGCTGGAAAGAAACGTTGAGTGAGAAAAGGGCCGGCTGACGAAACGTCTTCGTATCTCGAATGCAGGTGTGTCGCGCGGTCCATGAAGAGAATCACGAGCCGCAAGTTCTGGACGAGCAAGACGATCCAAGAAACGTGCCTAGGAAAGCCGGTGGGCTGGCTCCTCGGATTCCTCGAATCGTCGGGATAACAGTTTCGCGAGAGTCTCTAGTCTTCTAACACACGTTCAATCGACCATCTTGTAAACGTTCTAGAGCGTTCGCGCGCCGGATATATACGTAACTGTTAAAACGATTCAACCACGACGGAGCTATAATCCTCACGTATTTTTCCTATTCTCGTCGAACTTGGTTTTACTCTTTTTATCTCTTCTTTCTCTCTTTTTAACGCGTTTATTCATGAAATGGATCGTTGAAACGAGTCGTTTTTGATTAGACTGTTTTCGGGACTTCACTGAGCAGAGTATCGTTATAGCTCCGTCACCAGTGTCTACCAGATCCCTTCCTGTTTCCCACTACATTGTGTGTGTCTGTCCAAGAACCTTGTATTCGTCGATCGAGTCCGTGGTAATTAGAAAATATAAACTAAGGGTTGCTCACGACGCGACTCGCTGAAGTATATGACGTCGGCTCCGAAGAGACAGGAACGACGGAAAATGAAAAGAGAAATACCGTGGCGTGGGAATCAAGAATGTAACTAATCTATCTAGATATATCTATCTAAACGAAACCGAACGAAAAATAAAAAGTAAAAATTGCCGCGATGAGAAAGGATCGTGAGGATACAGTTTTTCTACGTCTCACTGAGAGTTGGGTCGGGGGTTGTGGCCTGTTGCAGTTGTGGCCGGGCTTCCGTACCTCATGAAAATCTAAAGAACGAGCGGATGGAAGCACGAGGTGGAGGTGAAGGCCGGAATGGATCAGAGAGAAAGAGACAAAACCGATGAATGGAAGGCAAGAGGAAGAATAAAGAGGAAGGAGAAACGGAGAGAAAGTGGAAGGGGTCCAGTTTCATCTTCTATCGATTTCTGATCGATATTCCCGAAGAGGATGAAGAAGATGAGAAGAAACGTTAAAGATGAAAGATTGTAAAATGAAACAAAAGTTTCGTTCGTTGAACAAACTTGTTCCTGAACATGTTATCGTCATTTTGATTCGTCATCGATATCTCGAAGCATCATCATCATCGACGTAATCATCTGTCTCCTCCACGTTCATCGTCACGCGAACAAATAATCGAATCTCGTCGCGAAACCATAATCGGTAACGATCATCGGACAATCATGCGCCCTCTTCCCTCATCTAACATTTCTGTAACCCCCGCAACGGACCCTGTCTTCTTCACGAAAAGATATACCCAAAGCACACTCATCTACTAATCGTTGTTTGTCAAGATCTTCATTGAAAAAGAGAAAAACTACGAATAGACCAGCGAACTCGAACAACGTCATCGTCACGCGTCACGTTCGATTCATGATAAGCGTTCTTAACCATTAAAAACAATGAACAACAAAGCGCACACGCTTTTCATTTTCGAGAAACACAAGACTTGCTCAGTCTACGAGACGATTTTTAGTAATCGATATATATATATATACATAGATTTAAAAAAAAAGAAAAGAAAGAAAAAGAAAAAAAGAAATCCATATGCATTTCTCGCGCGAACAAAGGGAATCTCGAGATAGATCGAGATCGTGCGCGCGTGAATCGAAGAATGCGTTCAATCGACGGTAGTCGATCATATCAACATCGACCATACACTTCGATCGTCCTGCCATAAATTAGTTCTGCGTATTGTCATCGTTTTATTGTTAATCGTCGCGACGACTGGATACCGCCGTCCCATTTGCATTTTTGATCGGTAACGCTCGCGACAGAACGGGAGATAGGACTTTTTTCTTCTCGTCGCGAGAACGATCGATCGAAAGCTCGTCGACGATCGGATGGAAGTTATGGCTGTTCGCTGTTGCCGAACGTTTCGTAGTGTTCTACCCTAGATCTCGCGGTACAGGTTGTAGCGACGCACACTTTCGTTCAGTTTTATTACTTTCACTAAGTTCGTTTTAATCCTGGAATCCATGGACAGTGAAAACCTTCGCAGCCTATCGGCCTATCGTCGTTTCTCTCTCATCGATCTCCTCCGATTTCGCGTCGATCCAGCGAGATTCATCGCGCGATCCCTCGACCCGTCGTACTTCGATTCCAGGGTTAAAACGACTGGACTCTCTTAACTATACGATTCCTTAATCAGTCTGCAGATCTCTGAAGAGTATGTTTATGTCAAAGTGCAACGCGAGCGACGTAGGTTTGTAGTCACATGGCGATCATGGCGATCGTATATTGATCTGGAATAAACGACTGCTTGATCCTCCACTCTAATTTTCTTGATCTCATTCCAGAGACTCGAGATTAAGCCTAATTTTTATCTCGTTTCAGATTCTGCGCCTACGCGAACTGTACAGACAGTGTCTGCCAATCGAATTTAGAGAATACTCGTGATTTCTATCTTTGCTCGCGTCTCCTGTCCTTCGTGTTCATTTCCCCCGACTTATTCGTAATTCACACCCGATATCTCGATTTCGTACATGACGTACCATCGGATATTACCCCGATCACCGTTACACGAGACACGACACATCGATACACGATGCTGCTCTTTCCCCCAGTGCTACCCCTGATCGTGGCTGCGACATAAACATACCCTCTTTGAAATTCCTCAACAGTAAAACGTCGAGGAACACGTGCGTTTCTTTGTCACGCCAGCTATCACTAATCGCTTAATCGCTTTCTGGGCCGCACGAGCCAGCACTAAACAAAATCAAAACGAAAAAAAGAAAAAAAAAAAATACACAAAAATGCAAAAGGAATAAAACAAAACGGTAGGAGAGAAAAGTATCGAAAAGAAAAAAAACAGGAAAAAATGGAAAGGATTAAGAAACATCGAGAATTCTTGTTCTTTTTCCTCCCCCTTCGAACGATCTCACGATCGTCGCCGGACGAAAGCCAGGGGGATGAAAATCGAGAGAAACACGCTCACCCTATTTATTTATTTATTTATTTATACGAATATCTTATTTGTTGATTTCTGTACTCACTGTGGTTCACACCAAACAACAATCGAATGCCGATAATCTGTACAAACTACGTTAGCACGAGAGTAACCTCTGTACAGGTCACCTGACGCACTGTACTCTCGTCGCGGTCACGAGCGCGATAATTAATCGATATTCATTGGCAATAGCGACTTTTCGGAAGCTCAACACGTTAAAGGTACAGCGATTCGCGTGAAAGGGATAAAAATGTATCGATAATCACGCAGGAGAATTTTCACTCAGCGTTAGAACACATTTAATCATCGCGCTGCGTCTGTGATCGCGATTATCAGGCATGGAATTACTTTAATGCTCGTAAACGTTTGCGCACTTTCTGCCGTATGGCATCCTCGTTAATCGCATAAGAGCAACATGTACGATAATAAAACTCGATAATAAATATGTTTCCTAGTACCAATTAGTATCCTTTTGTACTTGCTTTGCCCGTTACTACTGCTAATGGTAAACGTAGAGTCCTGCCCCTCTGTAATTTCTCCAGACTAGCTGAAACTGGTCAGACTAAAAATCATTAAAATCCGTGAATGAAAAGTCTTTCTTCTCGACCAACAAATGAAACCGGTGTCTCGTTTCATCGCGACACATATACGATACTTCTCGCGCATCCTGTTTCTATTCAGAAGCTTGTCAGAGACACACGATAGACTCGATTAATGCCTCCACTCGACCAACACAATTCCACGATACTTCAGTCACATGGTCATGAAATATTACATACCGAGGATTTTCAGCGGCCTTCGTTTCTTCGTGAACGCAAAAATAGCGAATAAAATTGCATCCATAAACATTTTCTCTTGATATTACTTTCAACGTCCATCGCTGAACTATGTCATAACTCGTAGAAGGGTAAGTTGAACTAAAAAGCTGGTCTAGAAATCTCCAGAATAAAACCAAAGAAGAGAATAGCCATTCCAGATCTTTAATAATGTTTCTGTCTTTTTTTTTTTTTTTTTTTTTTTAAACGTTTCATCACGATGTCTCGTGGTAAGGGTTCGAGTGAGACGATAGTACATTCGAGCACCCTTGTGATAACTTAGGTAATCTACTAGACGAGAACGAAGTGCTCGATTGGATGGTGAAGCAGAAGACGGACGAGAGCATCGAGGAGATCGATCGTGAAACCCTGAGCAAATATATCGAGACGAAAGAATTCCTGGCTGTTGTTTTCTGTAAGGCATAGTCCATTTTTTCCGCTAAAAAAGAGAAACAATTGCACGAGAATCGTAGATTGTTCGCAGTAAGTTACACGATATCGTAAGGCGACTTGTTCTTTTCGAGCTCGATAATCATGGGGTAAGTAAGAGACACTGTGCAATCAGAATGCAATCAGCAGTACTAAATATTCTGTTATAAATATACCAAATTGGATCCAATATCGCGAACGAGTAACGAATGTTTTTCTAATATTACTTTTACCATCGTTGTTTAATTCGCCGAATTTTTCTGAAACCGCAACTCGACGTTTTCTTAAAGTTAAATTCGCCTCTTAAGTGATCCAGTAACTGTTCAACATCGTTTCCAATTAACGACTCGTAATTTATAACTTCCGAGTTTCCTCCATGAGAATCCTAATACGAACACTTAAGGGGTTGATATCGCGTGGCTTCGAAACGAAAAAAGAAATGTCGCTCCCGTAGACAAGGAGGAGGATCCAGAGAGTCCTAGGGTGCTCAGGCACGTCGAGTTGATCGACGACGAGGCTGCCGAGTACGGCATAAAGATCGTAAGGATGAAGGATCGATTGATGGCGAAGAAGTACGGCTTCCGGAACCCGCCCGGTATCACGTACTTCCGCAAGGGGAAGAACATTAATTACGACGGGGACATCGACGACGAGGAGGAAATCCTCGATTGGCTGACCAATCCGGAGAACATGGAGCTCACCGATCACATCGAGCGAATCAACAAGAAGATGTTTCACAAAATACGACAGACCACTGATTATCTAGCGGTGTTCTTCTGTGAGTATCTAATTTAAACGTTTCAGCTAACGATATCACGATCTTTCGAATTAAATGTGCGAGACAGAGATCAGAGAGACTGTTCAGCTAACGAAATACTTAGATAAAGTCCTTTCCCTCGAGTAAGAAAAATTCGAGTCGGTATAGTTACTATTTTAAAAAACGAGACTTTCGAGCATATCGAACGCGATGGCGCGCGTATGTTTAGACAGCAACGACTGCAAACAGTGTGGCAGGGTATTGACGGAAATCGAGCACATCGATGACGAAGCGGACAGCGTGGGAATAAAATTCGTGAAGATCGACGACAAGCAGCTCTCCAAGCAATATGGCGTCTTTGCGCTGCCCGCCATATTGTTCTTTAAGATGTCCTCGAAGGAGCCGGTCATTTACGCTGGTACGTAGTAGATTAATCATAGTTAGTTCGTTCCATACGCATCGATGTTTCACAATTGAAATTTAACTTCGTCCAAAGGTGATCTTTACGACGAGGATCAGATTTTACAGTGGCTGTTGACACAGAAGGATCCATCCGGAGAGGTAATCGAAGACTTAGATGGCGAAGAACTGCTGAATTTGATAAGAGAGTCGGACTCATTAGCAGTGTACTTCTGTAAGTCTGACAGTCCTTCAGCCACGGCCAGCTGCCAAGCAGAATTCCTAACACTTTTCTACTTCTTCTTCACTTCGTCCCTTCTCTATTCCGCTCTTCTGTATTCATTCCAATTCGACTGTAAATATTATCATCAGAGCGTTCAATTATTCCTATTATTCTCTTCATCGATGATCGATAAAGCCGAGGATCATCCCAAAGAATTGATCGCCTGTTCTGTCAAGATATTTAGAGCGGATTTCCTGTTGCCCTTATCCTCCTCTTCTTTTCACGCTGCTCTGTCGACCATTGTTCCGTGTTGAAGAGAATAACAGTAACTCGTCTGCATATATAATATTAATTCCTGCTCTGGAAGCAGCGGCGTTGAATTGAAAAGCAACAAAATCTTGTCCGAGTCGCGGCTCTGAACTAAACTATGTACATATTGTTCCGCGAACTTTTGTTTCGTACTTGTCTGCGATTTTCGCTTAATGTGTCGCAACGATTAACCAGATTTCGTTTTTTATTCTCAGTTGTCCGTCGTCCTTGTTCTTGTATCTTTCGTTTGAATATACGTTTCTTCATGATCGTTGCTACTTGGCCTGTCTTTACTCTTTCTCTGTCTCTATCTTTCTCTTTCTATTTCTTTCTCTCTCTTTTTCTCTAGCTCTCTATCTCTATCTCTCTATCTCTCTCTTTCTATTTCTCACTTTCTCTTATTTGTCTTCTGTCTCGTCCATACGCTGTACACGTTGTCTGCTAATGCCGCAGGGAACAGAACGCTTTGTGACTTGTGTCAGGCAAAATATCAGCGGAAGCAGACCCGCCACAGGGACCGCAGGATCGTCGAACACGAGGCAGCCGAGGAACTCGATGGTACACGTGAACACAGAAAAAGAGAACAATTGAGTTGCCGACCCGATTTTTTCTTTTACCGATCTACCGATTTAGAATATGTTCCAGATAGTTCATCCAGATATTCATCTCCGTACATGCACCACCCAGAACACGAGCACCACTCGCATTAACGCTATATATATATATATATATATATATGTACATGTTTATTTTTGCCAATGTTTTCACGCGACATCGAATATTTCAGTCTGATTTCTTTTTTTAAGATGCACACGAAATATCTTTTTCCAGAGGGCTGCTGCGCTATTTTTTATTCGAATTTTAATTCGTCCAATTGCCAAGAAATTCAATCTCTGCCCTCCCATTTCAACGCGACACGTACGAAATTTTTCCAAACGATTTTTCCTAGGCCGATCGATACAATTTTTTCGTGCATTTCATTACACGAAACACCATCACACAGGAGTACCTGCACGATTAGAGAGCATGCACAGAGAAAACAATAGAGCCTAGCAGCAGAATCCACTATATATAGTCACCCTAGACATTCAGCTGACCAGCATGCCAACCTTTTTGTTTGTCCGTGTTTGAATAGATTTAGTATACTTTCGCAAGCTGTAAGCACATCAGTGTGTTCATAAGAGACCATTCGTATTTTTCGATAGTTAGTTTGACCCTCATACGTAGATAGAACCTAAAGATGGCCTTGTTAATTCACTATCCAATCATTTGATCCCCTATCATAGACCGCTGTCTTTCGAATAGACACTCCCGTTACGTGTTCGTGAATTTTATAACGATATAGTCTCTCTTTAGATGCTGAAGACTGCGAACAGTGCATGGGCATTCTTGAAGAACTGGAGAACATCGACGACGATTGCGACAGACACGGTATTACTTTCGTGAAAACGCAAGTGAGTAGGAAAATGGTGTACGAGTGAGGTGTTAAAAATTACTCGAGCTGAATGAAAATTCTCATGGTTCTTTTCGTAGGATTATAAGGTGGCGGAAGATTACGGAGTGACAGATTTCCCTGTACTAGTGTATTTCGAGAACCAAATACCAAATGTGTTCGAAGGTTAGCTATCTTCTTAGTTAGCTACATCTCTTTACCTTTATTTATCATTATTTATTAAACATTATTTTTCTTTCGCGTTTGAATTTATTCACGTCCTAAAGTTCCTTTAAATATCCTGTCGTACAGGTGACCTAAAAGTGGAAGAAGAGGTCCTGCAGTGGCTGATTACTCAGAAAACTGAAGATCGAATAGAATTAATTACCAGAGTGATGTTAGAGACGTCTGTCGAAGAGACCCAGTATCTCGCAGTCTATTTCTGTTAGTATCTTTGCAATATAATTGCTTAAACGTGCACAGAGAAGAGGAAATTACGTTGTTACGTTGTAGATAAACAAAACTGCCATATATGCGACGAGATTTTGGAGGGACTGGAGAAAATCGACGACGAGTGCGACGTGTTCGGTATACAATTGGTAAAAATTCAAGATCCTCAGCTGGCCAAACGGTATTCCATCAAAACGTTCCCTGCTTTGGTTTATTTCAGGAATGGCAATCCTCTTTTGTTCGAAGGTTTCTAATTTTTGTTTCCTCCGATTATTCTTTCACGATTATTTATAAAACATGATTCAATTTTTGATAATTTACCGTTATCTGCATCAGGTGACTTGCAAAACGAAGAATCGGTTCTCGAGTGGCTGATCGATGACGACAATCGAGAATTGGCGGATGAAATTGAATCTGTAAACGAGAGAATGCTAGAAAGACTGCTAGATGAATCCCCATTTTTAGCTGTTTTCTTCTGTAAGTCTCAGAAAAGTTAGATAATTCTAGTCGATTCCACCATCTATTTCTCTGAGCTATTACTTGTTAATATACGATTGGCTATGCTATAATTAGACGACGAAGACTGCCCCGAATGCGACGAGATCATGGAAGCTTTGGAGAAAATCGATGGCGAAGCAGACTTATTCGGCATTGATTTCGTGAAGGTGCTTAGCACAGAAGCTGCCGAGAAATTTGGAATTCTCAACGTCCCGTCTCTCGTTTACTTCCGAAAGAAAACACCCTTGATCTACGACGGCGATCTGACCCAGGAAGACAAGATTCTCCAATGGCTGACCTCTCAAGACGTCTTCGAGATTAAGAACGAAATTGAAGAAGTTAACAAGAAGATGCTGGACAAATTGCTGGACGAGAATGAATTCCTTGCTGTCTTTTTCTGTAAGTATCGACAAATCGTCCTCTTTCGTAATAAATTTAATCGTTCTTAGACAAACTGAACTGCAACAATTCAACTGTTGATTCTAGATGAACATAATAGTAAAGAGAGCGAAGAAGTGAGCGAAAAATTGGAGAACATCGACGGAGAAACGGACAACTTGGACATCACGTTCGTCAAGATGGCGGACCCGAGATATGCCAGGAAATGGGGAGTTACCAAGCTTCCTGCAATCGTTTATTTCCGCAAAAGATTCCCCAGTATTTATCGAGGTAAAACTCTGCTACCTAATTTAGAGATTGATACCAAATTAACATTAGAGAATATTGTTAAACTGATCCATTAAAATCTAGAATCGCGTCAATTCTGAACCATCTTTCTTCACAATAGGTGACATGGGCAATGAACAAGACGTACTGGAATGGCTGCGCAAGAATAGGTACCGTCAACCGGAACTGAACATCTACATGTACATGCTAATCGCGATTACCGTCATGTTTGCCATGTACACGGGTTTCCTGTTGTCGTGTTTCCGGTCGGAACCAGCGGCTCCTGCGTCGCATCCGAAGCAAGCGTGATAGGAAGAAAGGGAGAAAGAGAGAAAGAGAGTAAGAAAGAAAGAAAGAGAGAGAAAGAGAGAAAGAAAGAAGGAACGAAAGAGTAACAGACTTATGGATTGTTGCTGCGCGAATGTGCATTGTTGTTGTTGTTGATCCGACTCGCTTTACGTAAGATTAAAATGGCGGCCGTTCGTCCGGAACGAACGACCCGTACCAAGGCTCGACGATTCTACGGGGATGAAACCTGCCTATATACTTCTTCTTTTCGCTTAGACGATGAACGAACGATCTGAAACAAAAAAAGAAACAAAGAAATTATAACGTAAACTTTGCACTGTAATAGGTTCAAGTTGTCCGTGAATTCCGTGAGCGCGTGGTATGCTTGCTTAACGTGGACCAAATCCATCGATTTTCCATAGGAGATTTAGACCTCTGTCAAAATGCAAAGGCGCGAACGTGCTGCGAGCCTACACGAAACGACGTCTTGCGGGAGTTTACTCGACTTTATTCCAAGCGAATTACCATTATTAGCGTATAAGCTATGAATATTCGTAATCGTATACGTTTGCCATAATGTCTCTTGTTCGCGTTCAAATCACCGTGCGGCGACAACGTTGTTTGATATACTTTTATTGTATTGCTTTGTAACGATAGAGATATATTGTATCGTATTCCATTCACTTTGTATTAACTTTTTGCTGACTCGATGATTTTTTTTTTTTTTTCTGCTGCGTTTTTAGAGTGAATAAAACTGATCGACACATGTGTACACTGTTCTTTGCTGTTGTTCATGGAATGTTGCTAGCCAATTCGATCGACGAGCAATCTGTGGTTTCTTCTATGTTCTTTTTTTTTTCTTTTTTTTCTTTTTCTTTTCTCGTACGTGTTCTTGTAACTGTCACCGTCGATTAGTATTGACAGTGGTCTTGTTTTTTGTCTCGAATGATCACCTTTGGTCCACGTGTAATTAAATGTTCGCGAAAGATGACTGTCGATTATCCGCGTGTCCTCTCGGATCCTCCACGACGATGGATCATCACCGACATCTGCTGAATGAAACAATGGGGTCAATGTAAATGTACACGAGATGGGTAAATATTGCCTATCGATGCTCATATTGTCAAGGAAATAGTAACGATGTTAACACGATCATGAGGAATAAAGAACGAATCCTTGGACCAATTTCAAACTGCTTAAAGTGCCACTTCCGTCTGCCAATTATATATAATATAACAGCGTGAACGATACATTATATTAAAAAAGAACTCGACGACGTATACTTTCATTTTATTCTTCTTTTTGTTCTGTTCTCTTTTTTTCCTTTTTTTTTCCTTTTTCACTGGACCTCGTATGCATAATTAATATACGTGTAAATTAATTCTTCTGGAATACTTTTTTCATTTAAGAACTTCTCGTCGATACTTCGTACATGTATTTGAGACATACCTTTAAAAGAAATTGATTTCCAATATATAACAAGAATTATATTAACATGTCATTGCGTGAATCAATTGTCCCAATATCGCCTGCTCTACTGATATTTGACATTATACAGAAATGCCAAGAATGAATAAGCAATAACAAAATATAACGTTACCTAACAATTGTTTAACTTATTCTTTATAACTGTATAACATAAAATGTATTGACTCTTATAATAGATCTAGCTCACATATTAAATTTCCCGCCACCACATGAAGTTGGCAAGAATTGTGACCAACTTCAAATTCGTTTCCATACCTCTGAAGTGTCCAACGGTTGAGAATTTCTTTACCCAGCTGAAGAATGGCGGATGCGTAAGTGTTGTTTGAAGACCTAATGAAATCTGAAAACATCGATAATAAATGTTATTCTAATATTTCAAAAATATGTTATTAATAATTCTTACTATGTCTTTCATTGTATTTGTATTCTAGTTTTTGTTTTTTTCACAAAAATAAAAAATTACTCAATGCTGAGAAGTCATACCATTGATCAATATGAAACATAATATTATTTGTATTTCATTAATAAAAGTTATATTAATTCTTTAATGAGATGTAAATTTTTATCTTATACTATATCAAATTTGTATGTGTATTATTTAAAGTAATAATTATATTTTCTCTTGATCAAAATAACCTAACCTCATTTAAACCGTGTGTACCATGCGACTTTTATGTTAGCGAAATGTAAATATCTTTAGTCTTAATTAATAATTTTCTACATAGAAAGAAGGAAAATGAGCCCGCAGCTAAAAAGCTGCCGGCAGTACCAGAGTCGGTTCTTAAAAGAAGGAAAACTCGTGAAGCAGTACGAGCTGCACGTCTACAAATATCGATTAAGGTACTATTTTATTACTTCATTTTGTAACATTTTTTAATAATTTTAATATCTTAAATTAATGAAAGAAATTATAAACACTCTTTAACTTTAGCAACGTGCAAATCGTTACAAGAAAAGGAAATTAATCTTCAAAAAAGCTGAGAAGTATGTAAAAGAATATAGAACAAAGGAAAGAGACGAAATCAGATTAATGAGACAAGCTAAAAATCGTGGTAACTATTACATCCCAGGAGAAGCACGTCTTGCATTTGTTATTCGTATACGAGGGTAAGTATAATCTATCTATTAATAAATTAAAATTATACTTAAAGTTAATGTGTAATACATAATGTGATATTATTTTAGTGTGAATCAAGTTGCTCCTAAAGTACGTAAGGTACTTCAATTGTTCCGTCTTAAGCAAATCAATAATGGTATATTTGTGAAACTGAATAAAGCAACAATCAATATGCTTCGTATTGTTGAACCTTATATTACATGGGGATATCCTAATTTAAAATCAGTCAGGGAGTTAATCTATAAAAGAGGATTTGCCAAAATAAATAGACAACGTATCCCTATCACAAGCAATTCAATTATTGAGAAGAAACTTGGTTAGTACTACCTATCTTTTTTTTCCATTCCTGTTTGAAAATTATTGGAAATTATTGTATTATATTTGACAAGTCCATGGGAGTTGTATTTCTATCATCTATTCCCTTCCATCTTGTCAAAGAATAATAGAATCTTTGAAAAACTTTTTTGTACATTTTACGTTTAGGTTTGCGACGGTTCTTACATTTTATTATTATATTAAGTAATACTTTTCCCCTTTCCAATGTTTGTTGTGATAATAATATAAAAGATTAATTATTATAGGACGTGCTGGTATTATTTGTATGGAAGACTTAATACATGAAATATTCACTGTTGGACCAAAGTTCAAGTTTGCAAGTAATTTCCTGTGGCCATTCAAGGTACATAAATCTTTAATTCTTTAAATATCGACATAGGCATGGTTGTAGAAATACTCATTGTTCTATCAATTTCCTACTGTGTCGTAAAGTAACGCGAGTTTCTCTTTATGGTACGCATGTAATTTTGTGTTCCTCAGTCAAACTCAAACATTTTAATAAATGTGTAATATTTAATATTTTTACTAATTTTAACCTTTTGCCCTTAGCTCAATACACCTAATGGTGGATGGCGTAAGAAGACTAACCATTATGTTGAAGGTGGTGATTTTGGTAATCGTGAAGACAAAATCAATGAACTTCTCAGGAGAATGGTTTAACTTTATAATAATCTTGATAAATAAAAATTTAAATACAATATGTTGTACTGTGTTATATTTAACCTATAAATTACCTTGATGCACTTATTTAGTAAGAATATAAATATAAATATGAATGAGTATACTTTTAGAGAAAAACTAATTTTGTTTCTCCCAATCTTTTTGTCAACTAAGTATTGAATACATTGATAATTTTGAGGTTATACGAAATCTTACTAAATTAGTGTAATATTATCAGAAACAAAAGTGGACTCAGGATTATATAAAAAGAGTATACGTATATTTATTGTTACCTATTGCTTTCAATCAATAATATATATATCTGCAATGCTGTGCCAATATCAATTACCAAAACTTTTATTCGGATGCAAGAACGTGCCAAAACATGAACGCATGCGCTGAGTTACTACTATATAAAATAGTTTATCGTGTTCCATGCCGTATTACAATGTGAGAATGGTGTGTCAAAGCGAAGTATACTGGTTCGAATCTTGTTCCAGCAGTTTTAAATTAAATATTTTATTTTTCGATAGAATATTATTTTTAATGTAGAAAAAAATTCTTTAATAAATTCTGGTAAGTGTGTTGTAAAAAAGTTAAAAAATCATTAAATGATAAAATTACGTGACAAACTTTCCCACATGTACGTATTATACGCCTAACCTTATTTTGTCATTCACCAAAAAGTGTAATTAGTATTAGTTGTGTACATAAGTAATAAATTTCAACAACTTATTTCAATCAATATATTTCACACTACTAAGAAAGTTGTTCCACGTGTTGGCCTTTGAGAAATGTCAGTTTTTATATGATTTTGGAGTAGATTGTAGAAAGCTCAATTCATCTCCATTTGTTCTATGTTCGAATCCTGTTCATAACAATTATTTTCTTAAATAATCATACCAATTTTTTTTATATCATAACATGTAATGAAATTAAAAAAATACATATATTTATATCGAATTTTCAATTAAATATCAAATTGTAGTATAATATAAAAGAATTTATTGATTTAATGGCCTCTTCAATATTTTATAATACATAATGTTCCTCACATTTTTAATATCCATTCAGATTATATTAATAATGAGCAAAAAGACTGTGGATTCTGATACTTCACCTGATAATATGAATTCATCTATCACCAAATCCAATCATTCATTATCTGGTAATACAAAGATGTTCATTCTTCCTCCAAATGTATTACAAAATATTTGTCTCAGTAATAATATAGGGAAAGGTAAATGAATTAATTTGCATTATAATTAAGAAAAAATAAATATAGATTTTTATTTGTGCTTTAATATGCTGTTGTAGGTGGAAACATAGTGTCTGCTTTAGAATTTATAAAAAAAGATAGCACTATCAGTACTATTAAAATACAAGAAAATAATGATCTTGAGATTTCTACATCTATTGGAAATCCAAATTCAAATATTGTAATAAAACCAACCACAGTCATAAAAGTTAATAAAAATAATTCAGCAGCTGATACTGATAACAAAAGTATAAAAAATGCAACAGAAGTGCCTAAAATTAATACAAATGACGAAAAGTTAGCATCTAAAACAAATCACACAAAACAAATGCAGAATCTTCACAGTAATATAAAGAGAGAAAAAAATAGCAGAAAAGTAGACATAATAGATGTTTCAGGAAATCAGAAGACACTAAAAGAAATAAAATGTACTGCTGAAAATTTAAAAAGTGATCGATCTACCTCAAGTGATGTACCAAAGTCTCAAAGGGCAGACATAAGATCTGAACAATGTAGTAATGAAAAATATTTAAATAAACCTTTAAAAAAGAATAAATATGAAATTGATGGAAATTCGTTTAGTAGGTCTAAACGTGTCCGTAAACAAACTAAATTTGATGATTACATTACAACATATAAAAAAGGAACTACAACTCCAGAAAAAAAAAGGAAGAGTACTGCTAATAAAGAGTCAAAAACAGCAATAATTTCAAAGAACTCTTTATCAGTTGAAACTAATGCAAATGATATTCTTAATCAATTAAAATGTACAAAACAAGAGCTTCAAAATAAAAATGATGAAAAAAATGCAGCTACACATGATACACATACTTCTTCTACCTGTATCACACCAGCTGTAACAAAAAGTTCACTGCCTTTGAATTCCATTTCTGGAACTCAGCCTAGTATTAAAAATAATGAAAAACCATTTTATGCAAGACATTTGCAAGATTGTAACAATATAATAAATAATAAAAATTTGGAATGCAAAAATACAACAGATATTGAGTTGAATAGTAAGGGTTGTAATGAAGTACAAATGGAATCAATAAATACCTCTGTACTTGAATGTGCTACTATAAAAGACAAGGATTTAGAAACATTTGTAGAACTAAAAAAGACAGAAACTTTAAATGTTAAAAACAGAAGTAGTAAAAATAGAATTAATTTGTCATCTATAACATCAAACACTTTATTAAATGAAGAAAATGTAAATACAGATTCAGTAAGTCACAGTGATAATAATCAAACTTTGACAAGTACATCAGTAGCAAAAAAGAGAGGAAGGCCTAAAAAAATTATGCCTACATTGCAAGAAATTCCAGATATTTCAAATGAATCAGAAGAAAATTTAGAAGGTTTACAAAAAATGAATGATGTTTCCATTCCAGAAACAGTTGTTCATACTAAAAGATATGGTGAACAATCATATAATATTAATAATAATGATGGTTTAAATGATGATAATAGTACTGAAGGTAACATTCCAAATTCAATTATTGCTAGAAAAAAAGGTAGACCACCAAGTACCACATCTGCATGCATAGCTACAGGCAGAGGAAGAGGAAGGGGCAGAGGTAGAGGTAGAGGTAGAGGTAGAGGTAGAGGTAAAGGCAGAGGTAGAGGATCATCTCATTCTACATTAGATACTGAGTATATATCAAAGGGACCAATAACTACAGAAGATGTTAGAAAAGAAAATTCAGATGAAAGTAGTACCACTGTTCAAGCATCGGAAGTAGGTCTTTTATAAAATATTAAAATTGTGCATAATTCTTTAAATATAATTTCACCCCTAGTTATATGTATACATATATATATTTTTAAATTTATAGGTAGATTTAGTAAGATGTATCAAATGTGAAACAGATATATTAAGGAGCAAGTGGAATTCACATAATTTACTTATACATAATAATATGAGTTGGATAAAAGGTGATGAACCTTTGGTATGTATAAGTAAATAAAAATAAATATGTAAATTTATTATTACACATAATAGAAAATTTTGTATTTCAGAACTTTGAAAATGATATTAAATTATGGAGAAAAGTCTTAATGTCTGCTATTAAACAAAAGAGGGGTCAATTGTCTTGTGAAAAATGTGGAACTGTAAAACGTAGTGCGAATGGTTTTATATCTCATATGCAGTTCTGTGGAAAATCAGAAGAGGTATGTAAACTCTTTTATCATAATATAAAATATTTTACTTTCAAAATCCCAAAGAATGAAATAATATTTAAAATAATAATGTTACATGCTAGGAGAAGCAAGCTTTAATGGTAAGTTGCCATATCTGTGGTGCTGTTATGATGCCATCCTCTATGGAAATACATGAAAGAACTCACAGGCAATCAGAACAAAGTAAAATAATTGAATTACAATTATATACAGCAGATAATGAAAAAGTAAAACGTAAAGCTGCAGAAAAGTAAGATTTGAATTAAAAATCTATGATAATTTAAATTAAAATAAAAATACTGATATAACATTCTAATTACAGAGCAGTTTCAAAAATTTTAGAATTTACTGAGTTTGTTAAAGATAACAATCTACCTCCTGAAAAGAAAATAAAACTTGACTCCTCTTTGATGGTACATTACTTTTTTGTAATACTTATACTAATTAAATCTGATTTATTAAATGAATAACTATATAAAACTGATATTACAGAAAAATTTGATTAAAACACCTGAACATAAAAAACCTATACCATCTGTATGGAAAGGTATATGGAAAAAAGAATTGTCTACAGTGGGAACAATAAATTGTCGTCAAGTAGGTTGTACTTATACATGTACTTCTATTGAAGATATGTGTAAACATTTTTCTAACTGTAACTTCACTCCTCAAGAGGTATAACACGTTATAATAATATTAACATTAGTTTTATGATATATTTAAAATACTAAATAGATGCTTTATTTTACGATAGTGTTACATATGTAAAATATGTAAATTTTCAAGTATCTCTAATGAAGATGTAATAAAGCATGTAACAGAAGAACATTCGACAACAGAAGGAATTGATAGATATTCTGATTTTGAAGAAGAAAATTATAGTTCGGATGAAAGTAAGAATAAATTTTATTATAAAATAAAAACTTAAATTGTAAATTTACTCTTATTTTTAGAAGCATCCTGCACAATGAAATTTTTGGATAAGGAACAATTTCATAAAATTCGATGGACAGAACCATATCTGCCTGCTGTACAATGGACTATGGAATTGTAAATGGCCTTTATTTTTTATGTTATCACATATTTTTCTTTAATGTTTAAATATTAATGTGTTTCTTCCTTCTACATAGTGAACAAAAAAATTATGAATTATGTTTGTTTAATGACTATTCTCCAAATCAATTTACATTATTAAACAATACCGATACTCGTAAATATTTGCCAGAACTAGAAATTTCCATGCGAACAAAAAAAGAAAATACATCTGAAAAAACAGATGATACAGAAATTTCATGGAAGCAATGGAAGCGATTTGAAGGTGGTTTAGATGAAGGTAATTACTTATATTTTATAATCTTATAATGATAAATATATTATATCTGAAATAATTTCTTAGGTACTTCGATCTTTTTTACTGGTGGTCCAGTATGGGCATTAGCTTGGTTACCTATTCCTTCACCTATGTATTGTAAAGAACCTTGTCAATATATCGCCATTAGTACTCACCCAACAATGGCAAGTGAATATACTATAGGAAAATCACACTCTGGCCATAATATGATACAAATTTGGAACGTTGGGCCTTTGGATCATGAGTTAGTAGTAATAAAGAATTATTAAATTAGAATATACAGTTATATTAAATTTCTCCTAAATATTTGTCTTTTCTTCATCCTTCATTTAGGACTAATAGTAAAAAAGAATCGCCTGTTTTGTCATATGTAATTGTACACAATAGTGGCACCATATGGTGTTTGGAATGGTGTCCTTCTGGATGTTATCAAGATGAAAGTCTGAATAATTATAACAGAGAAAATAAAACACCATGTAGTCTTAAGCGAATGGGTATGCTTGCAGCAGCTTGCTCAGATGGAAATATACATATTTATTCATTACCTTTCCCAGAGGAACTTAAATTCAAAACAACTGTAGACAATGAGTAAGTAACAAATTTATTCAGATTATGCAATATTCTAGTGCCATTATTAATATATATTATTATAGATGGCCTATATATTCCACTGATCCGGTAATAACATTAGTTGTAAATATTTCAATATATGATAGTAATGATCAAAATTGGCAATGCACCAAACTGTCATGGACAAAAGAACATGGGCATAAGTAAGATTTCTTCAGTATATTCTTATCAATTCTTTATAATCTTCAAATAATAAAATTAAACAATTGTTTTATTTTCTCAGTACAATTGCTGCAGGATTTTCAAATGGTTATATAGCTTTGTGGGACTTAACATACAAATCACCATTATCAATACAAAAGAGACAGAACACATACTTCATAAATGCATTTCAGCACTTTTATGCTCATGGTAATGCTGTGAGTAGTAAGTACATTTGTTTCTTTTGTTTTCGAAAATTAAAAAGTTCCTAATATTGAATAAAATATAATAATAAATTTAACAAGTGTATAATTTTTTTAGTGATAGCATTAATTCCATATAATGGAGAAAGATTTCTAGCTTCTGGTAGCCTAGACAGATCATATAAATTTTGGAATTTAGAAGACATAAGTACTCCTCAAACTAGTATGCAGAAAGCTATTATAGTAGATGGTGCATGGATGACACATTGGCCATGTGCTGTCCTTAGTTTTGATGATGCTTTAGGGTAAGAATCAATATATTTTCTAATCCAAATAAAATTTAATTTTTAACATTGTATTATTATATTGTAGATACAAGCATACTAATTCTTATTTGATTTCGTTAAGAGAACACGAATTCAAATATTACCCTATCTTAGGAACAAATTCTCCCACATATGTAAGTAATTCTAAATATTATTTTTGAATATTCTTAAAATGTGGTAACTTTTGCTTAAAATTTTTGCAGGCTTTAGCCGTTTCTGATTATGCAAATAGCATTGCACATGGTACATTAGCAGGAGAAGTGCAAACAGTATTTGCACATGAACTTATACATGGTAAAGCCATAGAGAAAGCTTTACAGAAAAAAAGAAAGGTATGTTTTTTATGTTTAACACGTTTGACATTTTAATAACTAAAATTCATTATTAGAAATTTAAGTATAAATAATTGTTCTAGTTGAGTTCATTTATTAAAATTGTTGATTTCTTGGAAAAAGAAGAAGATAATAAAAATGATAAAAAACACAAAAAGAATTCGAAAGATTATCATTACATGCCAGAAACCTACGACGAGTGCCAGAATCGATTCGGTGTTGTATTTTGCGACAATTTAAAAGTAAGTATTCTTGATTATCTTAAGTTTGTTATATAATTTATTTTTGATAATATAGTTTATATGTTATATTAACTTAGTAATTAATATTTTGTGTTTTGTTATATTTAAAGAACATTGAACGATATGTACGCAAACGATCGCTACACGCAGAGAAACTATCAGAAGTTCCGATTGAAGAATATCCATTTATGTCAGTGAACAAAGTATGCATATCACCACTATTTTAATTTATTTGGCATTATAATTTTATTTGATGTTAAATAAGTAATGAATTATAGATATCTTGGAATCCAAATGCATGGAGTTATTTATGGATGGTAGTTGGATACCAAAATGGTTTGGTAAGACTGTTAAACTTTAAATACATGTCTATGTCACGTGAACTAAAAACGTTATTGCCTCAACATGTAAAATTTATGCTTACTAAAGCAAAGATTACAACAAAAGGATGTTGTTAATATGCAAGGAAAAAGCAGTCTTAATTTATACTACTCCAAAACCAAGCATGATGAATCTGATAACGATTGCTTGTTGTTAATATGTAGCAAATTATTTTTTATAATTTTATACATATTAGGCTGACTTTATAAGAACTGAAATGCCAATGATTGAATAAGATTTATTGTTATGTACATATTAAAAAAAAATATTTAAATTTTATTCAATGTGTATTTAAACATCTTAGGCCATTTGAGAAGGTAATGCGTTTTGTACAATATGTACACATTTTGTAATTTTGAATATTTAAAAAGCGAAACAATTATTAAGTTATGTTAATAAACGATCTTTTGCAACCTTGAACTGTTGTTAGTGTAAAAAACCACAATTTATATTTTTATTTTTACAGATTTTGTATATTATATGATAGTAGTATATATTCTATTATTTCTTTCATACGTTTATACAAAAAGTAAATACAATACAAATATAATATAAAAACAATACATTATTAGATATCAGCTAACACCAAAACATAAAGCATCATTTCTTATTATTGAAATATTGATTTGTCGCTGAGTTCACTACTCTAAACGTTTGAAATTTAGATGTCGATATTATACTATCACCTACTAACAATTTGCATATCTTGTTTTAAAGTTAAAGGTACTAATAAATCCTTTTTCAATGGTGATTTTCAAATGTTATGCTTCATTCCGCGCGTCATGTACCACATGATTTTGGTATAGTTAAGTTGCACGTGTTGCGTATGTATATGTATGTAGGCATAATACTGATTCATAAAAAAGTAGGGAGAAAGAACTACAACAAAATGTAGTGGAGATCAAATAACAGAAAGCATCACAGTCAAGCCAAGGCAGAAGCGAATTGTGACGCAGGAAATGTTTCATCATTCTTCCTTTGATATTTGTAACGAAAGCAGTATCGCTCTCGATTTATCTTGTCTGTAGTTTAAAGTATCAAATACATACTCAGTCATATGGTAATAAAAAAATATTATTTACAATATTCGTAATTTAAAATTGTAATAAGTCTCCACAAAAACAAAAAAACTGTTTATTTAATATTAAATATTTATACAAGTAAGTGATGAATATTTTTTTTCTAATTTTTAAAGAAATTGATGTAATGTATAACGTGAAACTTAATTTTTGCCGGATGTTTACATTAGGAATATATGTACTATAGTTATATACCAGACCATAAAGGTTATACTTGCTTTATAGAAGAAAATTTTCGTCAAATTAGTATCGTGCGGTAAAATTTGTATTTAGAAATGGGTATTAATCCAATGAAGTGGAAAACCAGAAGTCTGCTGTACACTAGTTTAATACTTATAATTTTCTATGTACTCTTTGTGTATAAGAAGAAACATTATGTACAAGTCGAAGGTATAATAAAAAATTCAGATCCTATACACGTACGGGAGTTTATTGCAGATTTTAGTAACATAAAAAAATTAAATCCAACAATGTACGTAAAATAACAAATAATTGATTTTTACACTTTCTATATATCACTATTTTTCTTTTCTTTTTATAATTAATATTTATAGAGAAGAATTTGATATTATTACGGAAGGCGGTACAGCAGACCATTGGAAATATTCAGTTGAATATACCGAACATTTGAGTTATTTACCAATTCGAAATACAGCGCGTGGGCATTATGACGTATTTACAGATAAAAATGGATATTTGATTACTTCGAAACACCAAACATGTTTTTTTTCTGGATTTGGATGCTGTAAGTAAATATTTCTGTTTAAAAAGAAAGAGATTACATGTAAAATTAGAAATTAATATTAGCAACCAAATAAGACTTTTAAATGATTTTAATCTTAAATTCCGATTTTCGTTACAGTAGAATCGATCTCGCAATTCAGATTCGACGTAGATGGAGCCACAGATACGAAATGTATCGAAACGGTACAGTATGAATGTCCAATCGTATTTTCATTGCTATGTTACAAAGAAGTTATGTACCAACGAGAAGAAATTATGAAAGGGTTGAAATCGAAATTTTCAGTGACTAAAACTTAATAATTGATACTGATAATATGTATTAATAATTCTTTATTTCAATATTATTGTAAAGGGCAATATTTTATCTTAATGAAGTTATATGAATCCTATTTTTATCTCCTCTATTGTATTAAATTATAACTGTATATTTTATATTAATACTTATAAACTCAAAAATTTTGTTATCAAAATTCATTTAACTAGCAACAAAAGAAGTATGTTTATACCTTGAAGATCGAAACTTATGTATTGACTGCGAAATTTTTGTAATAAAATATAAATACATTCAAAATAATTAACAATTGTGATTTTTAATATGAATTACCATTCAATTATATTCCAATGCTTCATATTGTTCCCCCGCTTTCCCAACTTGTGTATTGAAGTCTCTCGAAATTATTATTATATGCATTTTCTTTTTTATTTTTTATTTCCAGATTACCTCAATACTTATTACTATGTCATAATTTGCCTTACCCTCCTCAGCATTAGTAAATAACAAAGACATTCACTTTATTTAACTTCTCTCTGTTTGCTATACCTCACTGTTTTCTCACACTTTCGTTATTATTTACTTTTTCATTTCTTTCTAATTTGGATCTTTTTTATTATACTTAATATGCTACGACCCCTAGTCTTTTCCGCTTTTTCTATATTCTCACCATTCTTACTTTTTTACGTATTTTCATAATACTTCTATTCATTTTTTTCCATCTAATATTATGTTTTTCTGCTAAAACAATTACTATTTCTACATATTCTTTGTTTTTCATCTACTCATACATATTTCTACATAAATCAATCTAACATGTATCCAATTACAGTATATAACATTTTTTTTTTTTAGATTTACTATGTTACTTCGTGTAAAATATTTATTTTATATCAAAAATATAATTTTTATTTATAAATTTGTATACTTTATATATCGCGCTAATAATTTATGTATGTTTAGTATGACCAACATCAAAATGTAAAATGTCTAATGATAAAGTGACAAAAAAGAATGTAGAGGGGGAGATCAACAATTTATTGAAAACATACACATGAGAGAACGTATAAAAAGGAAATAGAAGTGGAAAACTCTTTGTATTTTTATTTGTATTTATTGAAATATATTACTCTTAACATTTAATCAATAGATTTATATTACAGCGTAAAACATGTCCAATAAATTTGAGACGTAAGTGAAACTAGCGTTCTTATTTCATCGTGCCTTTTTCTATGGGCTAGATGGAGGTTAGATTTGTTTTAAATAGAAATCAACATTCATTGATATATTATTTTGTTTAATGTTGTACATTATGCACAACATATGCTTCTTTTTTCTATTTAATGCATTAATTATTAGCTTACATAAAATACTGTCTAACTAGTTTTAAATAACAAAACATGTGATATGTTTTGACATTTATCAGAAGCTAAATACATTTTCATATATTGAATTTTCAATTACTATCTTTATTCTTTTTTTTGACACTTTAAACTACTACCAAATAATAATAAAATATTTTTCATTGCATGCAACTGTATAAAATTAATGATCATATGTTATTATTTAAAAGTATAAAATGAATGAAGTTTGTTGTTCATAAATAAAATTTTTGAGATTATTTAACTATAATATTTGTAGTTTTATAAGATTCATGTTCTAAATAATAATAGTATTTGCAGGTTAAAGAATAAACAAGATAGTGGAGATGATGAAGTACAATCAAAAGATAATAAAAAACCTGAAAAAGATTCATTAGTAAGTAGGAAGTATTTTTTTTAAATTTATTACTTTGTTCCTATTAAATAGCAGATATTTATTATAGCCTCCTATAGAAATTAGTCCAAATGAGCATAAATTACAGTATGCATATGCATTATGGTATAGTCGACGCAGTTCTGGTAAACAACCAAATATACAAAGTTACGACCAAAATTTAAAATTAGTTGGTAGGTTTGCAAGTGTGGAGCAGTTTTGGAGTCTTTACAGTCACTTAGTCCGGCCATCAGAATTAACAACATCTACACATTTTCATCTTTTCAAAGTTGGCATAAAACCAATGTGGGAAGTATGTGTTTTAACATTTTTTTTTTTATAATATATACCTATTCCTTGTAAGTAATTTTGCATTAACAAATTATTTATTTTAGGATGAAGCAAATCAGAAAGGCGGTAAATGGATAGTAAGATTAAGAAAAGGATTAGTTTCTAGGTGTTGGGAAAATCTTATATTAGCTATGTTAGGTGAACAATTTATGGTTGGAGAAGAGATTTGTGGAGCTGTTGTATCTATAAGGTTTCAAGTAAGTTAATTTTTATTATTTGAAGATAATAGCCTATATCTTGTTAGTGCTATTAGAAATTCTTAATTACAACAGGAGGATGTAATATGTGTATGGAATAAGACTGCATCTGATTATGCAACAACTGCACGTATTAGAGATACATTAAGGAGGGTTTTACATCTTCCAGCAAGTGCCTCAATGGAATACAAAACTCATAATGAAAGTTTGAAAAGTGTTCATCGGCTCTAAAAGTTTGTGATGCTAAATTTGAATTCTTTATGGACTTTCAGGTAAATTATATAGTAATATTATTAATTAATAACAAGATTTATTTTTATAAAATTATACTGTTTATATGTTTTTATATTTAGCAAATTGATACTTGTGAGAAAATAATACTTAGGACAAAAATATTTTACAACTACAAAAGTTAAATGGCCATCTTACTGGATAACATATTTGATTCACAAGTGTCTCATTGTAACTTATGTAAATAATAAATACATGTTGATAATAAAAAAATAATCTTATTTCCAAAATATCTTAAACTGATATTATTTTTTCCCCTCAATACTTGGAGCTAAATAATATTTGTAACAAAGTAATAAACTAATATAACTATCTAAATATAACTTTTTTGCATTATGTTATATGCACAAATGTAGAAAATCTTTAACCATAACAATAAGTAATCATTCTATATATCAAATATTTTTATTTAAGGATACCTAAAGTTTGGAGCCCATTTTACATAGGATATTTATACATTTTTACATGAGATCGTATTTTTTTAGAATATATGCATAATTATTAATGCTGTGCTTTGTACATAATGCTTCTATACACAAAGCATTTTAATCGAAATGAGGTATTAATCCTGGTATAAATATTAATATATTTTTATATTTTAACTTGAATATATAAAAAGACTAATTCTGTTAAAATTTTAATATATGTACAAATTTGTTTTATGCATACATAAGGCAATGAAGCACAAAGTTGGACAAGAACATTTAGCATCATGTACATTAAAAGAATAAAATATTTTATATATATCAATAAATATTTGCATTATTCACAGTATAATGTGACAGCTTATTGTTTACAGACTAGAATTAGCTATACCCAATAACAAACAAAAAGAGGCTCAATACTAAAAAAAACCTAACATTAATTGTGCTTTTATTTCATGATTCTAATCATTGTATAAAGTCTTTCTTTTTTTTCTTAAGTACAAAGCCAAAAATTACAACCTTAAAATAATAATTGTGACCATACCTGTAATAAATAGAAAGATCCTTTTCATGCTTTCTTCAACAAAACATCAATAATAAATACTTACCTAATACAAACGAAAATATTAGTTTAAAGTTTATGGAGAGATGGAGATAATCAGGCACTTTATTATTCTGTTCTCCTTCAGTAGGTAAAAGCAATCCAACTATACAAATGATTCCAGCAAATAATGCTACATAATTTGTTCCTCCTAAAAATAACATATATTTAAAATATTATTTCAATAGATATATAAATAAGATATTTTCTTTTCTATTTATAGCTTAATAAAAATAACATTTATAATTTACTTTATATTTATATTGATAAACTGTAATTAAAATATATTAAAGAAGTTCTTGTTATATAAATTACAATTGAATGGAATATATTAAATATATGACTTTCAATTAATTTTATATTACACATGTAATATCACATTAAATCCAAATATTAATTATAAATAGTGACTTATTAACCTTTATTCTTAATGTATTTCATATTTGCAGATTGATATATTTTTTTATTCTTATTTTGAATATTTTCATGAAATAAATTATAGTGTAACTTTATTGACTTCAATGTGTATTTTGTATGTGTAAATATTGATGTAACTTATGCAACTTACAAATATTTTTAAACTTACTATCAATTGCTTTATTTTGAGCTATAAGTGCATAAGATTGTTGCTGTCTATTTTCATTTATTGGAAGCTGTTGAAACATTTCAGGATCTGGTGTAGATCTTCCAACTGTTTCTGTTGTCCCAGGAAGTAATTTAGCTTCAACATCTCGTTTTCCTATAGCCTATTAATTTTTTAACAATCTTAAATTATATTATTTTTGTAAAGAAGTTATATTTACTTTTATATTTATATATAATTAAACATATGTTCAATTACCTGTTTAGTTGGATGTTCTTGCATTTGTATTCTAAATTTATCAACAACATTGCAATTACTATGTATAAGAGATGTATGTCTGACAACAATATCGATACAGCATCTTGCTTTTATTGTTCCTTCTGGTTCAACAACTTTATATTTATTTGGTGCAGTACACAATACTATAATTATAATGAATTATATTAAATTTTTTTATGTATTTATTAGTGTCTATTATTACAATACATACTTTTGAATCTTATTGGAAAATCATATGGGTTATACAAAGTTAAAACTTGTTTGTGAGTAGACTGATCGTCTAAAAAGAAAGTGATACTTTGAGGAAATACAAATACTGGTAATTTTCGTGGAGTTGCTGCTAATTGGGACTGCATTATATCTGCTTAATTTTATGTGTTCCATGCACCTATAAAATTATATTCATTATATACATCTAAATCTATTATTTAGATTTACATTATAATGTATGTACACGTAAACCTCATTATTTTGAAATTTTTTAAATATCCATATTTTATATATTCTCACTTGATTTGATACAAACATTTTTTACGTGAATTTGATCTTTTATACTTTAATATTGCAGTAGACAATTAGTCATATATATTTAATATAACTTACCTAAACAAAAATGAAGTATTTTGTTGACTATAAAAATTAAGCTAAAAATTGTATAGTACCAAATTTTAATTATTACAATAATTACTTGAAATAAATAAAAATACGAGTAAATATGAAAACGTTTTTAAACAAAGTTTCAAAAACTGAACACAAATCTAATGTTTGTTCGTTTAAAAAATATGTTTAATCATTCTATCGGATAATTTTAGTGACTTAATCAATTACGAGAAACACATCATTAGTTGTGTAACAACTTCTATAATATTTAATATTTACAAGCTTGTTAGCGTCATAGGTCCATTTGATTGAATACTGCACTGTTGATCTTCCTAGTGAAACAATTGTTCATGGTATTCGTCATCACTTTTCATGTACCAACATTTACTATTGTGCATGTGAACAAGTGGTGTGTGATTTTCTCGTCTTTCCCTAGCTTATCATTACAAATCAGCTGATTATTTCATTCTTCTTAGTAAAGGATTTAAATGGTATTAAAAATCACTTTATCATCCACACATTGTTTCTACGCAGTTTAATCAATTTGTTTAGTAATAAAAAAATTTGATACTAAAATTTCAATATGTAAAATGGTTAGAAATATTTTGTAGATTGCATATAATTTACCTGATTCAATTAATGAAAATATTAAAAAGTATAATCACTATGACCCAGTTTTCATTTTACTTATAATTCGATAAAAAGTTGGATCTGAATATGGAAAACAATAGATTTCAACAATAAAACTTATCCAAAAGTAACATTGCATACGTAATTCAGGGATAAATCAATCGTTTACTAATATAGGGAAAAAATATTTGTATATTTTGTTGGCAACCATACGTAAAATATTAACAATACTCGTATGAATTCAACAATATGGCACCGGGTAATGAGGCTTATGAGTAATTATACGATTACGTTAGTTGAATGTTGTTGATATTAACGTATTGATATAACAACGTAGTGCAAACGTATAAGAAAATGATTGAAGCACTATATACATTTTAATAAATAGGTAGTGTACTAAGTAATAGAAGTAATTACGCAGAGCAATTCTAACCTTACTCTGGAATTTTCGATTTCTGGGTTTCATCAGTGTTTTTATTTTTCGACGTAACGGTAACAATCTATTTTTGTATAAACATATTCAGTCATCATATTAATTTTTTTCAATTTTATTAATATATTGTTAAAAAGAAGTATTTATGTTTTTGCATTGTATAACATATAGAATTGTGTATTGGAAAATCCTGTTTTGCATTTTATAAGATATCTGTAGAAAATATTAATTTTATTTTTATTTAATTTTTTAGGAATATACACCAGAAGACATCATGGTTAATGTTAATCCTAGAGTATTCTTTGATATAGAGGTGGGTGGTCTCCCAATGGGTCGCATGGTGTTTGAACTCTTTGCTGACATTTGTCCAATAACATGCGAAAATTTTCGTGCTCTATGTACTGGAGAAAAAGGACTTGGGAAAACAACTGGCAAACAATTGCACTATAAAGGAATTGTTTTTCACAGAGTAGTTAAAGATTTTATGATTCAGGGTGGTGATTTTTCAGTAGGTAATGGAACAGGAGGAGAATCAATTTATGGTGGAACTTTTGCAGGTATATCTATAAATATATTGCAGATATGATGTTTAAGAATAAATATAACTTATTTGCAATAATATTTTGCAGACGAAAATTTTATTATAAAACATAGTAAACCATTTTTATTATCAATGGCAAATCGTGGTAGAGACACAAATGGTTCACAATTTTTTATGTGAGTATTCATTAAAAAAAAGTATATAAATATTAATAAATTATAAAAATATATATTAAATAGCGTAAAACAATTGACTAGATCTATAATAGAAGAAAAGTGCAGGATGGTGTGATAAATTTACAATATATATAGTTTCTAAAAATCACGAGATATTAATGCATTATATTATTTTACTAAATATTTATTTTGCATGTTATTATTAACAAAAGTGATCAGCTTACTAAAGGTTAATATTTATACTTGCAAGAAAAGCATATTGTGCATAAATTTTATTTTTTAATATTTCTACTAGCTCAAAATTATTTTCCTCTGCTGACAGATGTATACTTTGTGAACCTCAAAGGTAAAGGTAATAGGAATTTAATATACATTTATTTTCACAGTGTAACATCTTTCTATGCTAATATGTTTTTAAATGTGTTCCAAATAAATAGCAGGTGATATAATAATTAAATAAAAGGATAATTGGGTTTGTTCAATTTAATAGTAAATTTAATTACATTGTATTATTTTTTGATGTTGACCATGACATTATAAAGTTGTTCAGTATTTAATAATTTATACGAATCACATAAATCTTCCGGTGAATATTGAAAAGCATAGAAGTAAGAATATCTTTGAAGGAATGAATAACTTAGCTATATTTCTGTGTAGTCGTGAGGGAAGGGTCTGCACACCACTACTACAACACAATGACCAATGAAAGCTGGCTCTTTCTGTTCATCTCTCATCCCCTTAATCATATTTTGTTGTTGTAGTACAACACAACCAGCGCCTCACCTCGACAAGTAAGTAACAATAAATTAAGTGCTCCTTGAGCAGTATTTTTCATATTTGAATATAAAATTTTTAGTGTCCATGTGGTTTTTGGAGAAGTAGTGTCTGGCCAGGAAATTGTTACACATATTGAGGGACTTCCAGTAGATCGTATGTCTCGCCCGTTGCAAGATGCGAAGGTTGTAAATTGTGGAGAACTCGTATTGAAAGTTAAAAGTAAAGGTATGTTTTTGTTATTACAAATCGTTATGTTCAAAAGATTATAAAAACAATTAATTAAAGTTAATTATACTTTTATTTATAGCAAAGAAACGCGAAACAAAGGACAGCAGCTCATCTGAGTCTGATTCTGATTCATATGCAGAGAAACCTAAGAAGAAAAAGAAAGCCAAGAAAAAGTACAGAGTAGTCAATATTTACAATGCATAAAGTAAATGAAAAAATATAGAATACTGGGAATAATTTTTTATGTTGCAGTAAAAAAAGAGCAAAATCAGAAGATGGTGAAATTCATGATTCCAATGAAGATGATTTGGGGAAACCTCATCCGCTTGTTTCAGTTACAAAAATTGATCCTGATGAAATTCCCGAAGTACCAGCAAATAAATTTTTATACAGAGCAGGGCCTACTAATAACGCAAATCAAAAGGAATTTAGGCAACATTATGGAAGAGATCGGGTACGATCACATAGAAAAACTGGTCGCATATTTAAAGGAAGAGGAATATTTGTAAGTATTTGTATGCAATATACAACATATGGTATGTATGAATTTTGTAAATGAATTTCATTATAATAAACATTTTCATTCTTAAAACTTAACATCTTTTTACATATGGTACTGAATTATAAAGTAAACGAATAAATAAATATTCGTAAAGTAAAACGAATGTCAAATAAGTAGCTAAGTAAAATGAGTAAATAAATAAATTTTCAGCGATATCATACACCGTCACGTAGTCGCTCGAGAAGTGTTACACCACCGCATTGGAAACAAGCTCAAAATCGTACTATTAAATTACATGAATTTCAGGTATGTAATTATATTTAAATATATATAATTTAATTAATGCATGTTTATATTTTTGAATGTTTGAATTCATTCCTCAGAAATTAGAAAAAGAACGCTTAAAAAAGGAGGAAGAATTAAAAAAACGTGAAGCTGATAGAATTAAAAAGTTTACAGAAAATCCAGACGAAGAAAATCAAATAATGGACAAATTTGACGTTGAAGCACATATATCCGAGGAATTAGAGAATAAAGAAAATGATCAATCAGACGAAAAAAAGAGCAGCATTAAAAACGTGGAGCAGGACCAAGATAATTTAAATACTAGTTCAGATGTTAATGACGCTATGACGAAAGAGAAAGTAGACGGGAAACATAAAAATGAAAAGTTAATGAAACGCGATTTACATCGATCGTATGGTGATAGGTCTTCGCGACGGGGGTCACGGGATAGAAGTAAAAGACGCGGAAGTGGTCGATCCAGATCACGAGATCGACGGAGATCACGAGATAGAGATTACGACCGTAGAAATAGTCGTGATAGGAGAAATAGAAGGAATTATTATCCCCGTAGACGAGACTCTTATAGAATTAATAGGCCCGGCAGAGATAATTATAGATATTATGATAGACGCAATATTTATAGAAGGACGAACAATTCTAATTCTAACTATGATACAGATATGAATTCATCCCGTTATGATAAAAATCGAAGAAAAAGTGATAATACCTCAGACTCTAACAATCAACCAAAATTTAAACGTCGCTCACGTTCAACTAGTTCTAGTAGTCAGCACTCCAAAGACTAAATACAATGTTTCTTTATTATTTTTCTGCATAATACAGGAAAATATATAATTTGTGCAGTAAACTACATTTATTGTTTTCAAATTTTTTTATTAGAACTTATTTCTTTGTAGCATGTATAAATTTATGTATAGACAACCTTGTCTTAAATTTATAACAATTCAAATAATATTCATATAATATGTCGATCATTTTTGTATTTCTACAGAATGAATACAATATGTTGAAAAATGTAATCGTTTAATTGTTCAATTCTTTAGAGTTTTGAAACAAATATAAGCTAAAATATTCAATATTGAATGTATCTTCTATCTCTATAACGTCATATTGTAAATTAAACATACTTTTATAGTTACTACTAAAAACATTTTAATTTACAAATGGGATTAAATTTTAGTTTATATAAGATACTTCTCAAAAAGTTATAAAATTTATATATAATGATGAAATATTGGTAAAGCAATTAAATAAATTATACATATAATTTAAAAAATATTTGTAACAATATGTTGTATAATCATTATCTAAAATAAAGTACAGAAATAAAAGATACTATATTTTACGTTTATAGAATTATTTTTAATTTATTGTTATTAAAAACTAAATATGAAATGGAAGTTTTTAACCTATCACACTTAATGTCCCTAAAATTTTTATCAAAATTCCAACTACATTTTTATATTGGTACCATTAATATTGTGAAGTTAGCTGTGTAGAATAGTTCGCTTTGATTGGTTTACAAACTTGTTTACGTTAGAATTTGTGAGTTCAAAAAGTAATGTAATTGACAGCGAAGAATTAGTAGTCATTAGTGAATTTTTCGTAAATTTATTACAATGGTACGATATGCTGCACTTAAAGGTTTGTACGATTTGGAAAAGACCATTGGAAGCGGAGGTTTTGCTAAAGTTAAACTTGCCACGCACATTGCAACCGGCGAAAAAGTTGCTATCAAAATAATGGATAAAACATCACTGGGTGTAAGTGATTTATTAAAATTTGATGCATCAGTATAATATAATCGAAACAAATTTTCGAATTTGCAGGATGACTTACCGAGAGTTAAACTAGAAGTTCAGGCGTTAAAAACATTATTGCATCAACATATTTGTCGATTATATCAAGTAATAGAAACAGATAGTCATTACTTTATGGTAATAGAATACTGTTCAGGGGGAGAATTATTCGATCATATCGGTAATATTATGTATTACAATTCAGCTTTTAATTTTTCACTGTATCATCTTGTCTATTATAATTAAAGGAATCATAAGAAATATTACGATTTTCTTTTTATGTGCAGTTGAAAAAAATAGGCTTTCTGAAACAGAATCACGAAAATTTTTTCGTCAAATTGTTTCTGCAGTAGCATATTTGCACAGCTTAGGATATGCTCATCGTGATTTAAAACCAGTAAGTTGTACTTTTTTTTGATGATTTAGTATTCATATAAATGGCAAACAATATTATTCTGTATACAGGAGAATGTTTTGCTAGATAGAGAAGAAAATTTAAAACTTATAGATTTTGGATTATGTGCAAAACCAAAAAATGGAATAGATTCACATTTACAAACATCTTGTGGTTCACCAACATATGCTGCACCAGAACTGATATTAGGAAAAAAATATTTAGGTACCTATTATTCAAATTTTAATTAAATAATATTTGATATTGAAGACAAAATTAATGTTTGATTTATAGGACCACAGGTAGATATTTGGAGTATGGGAGTCCTCCTTTATGCATTACTTTGTGGCTTTCTCCCCTTTGATGATAACAGTATAGAGAATTTATATAAAAAGATTCTTGTAAGCTTTTTTTAAGTCTTATTTAACTTTACAGAAAACTTGATTAATGATAACAATTGTAGAGTGGTAAATATGATGAACCAAGCTGGTTATCAAGCAGTAGTAGAAGACTAATACGGGCAATGCTACAGACAGATCCAAAGAAACGAATTACTATTCAAGAACTGTGCAATCACCCATGGATTACTGCAGGGTTTCTTAATCCTATTTCATTTGTTCATAAGACTAATGTAAATATTTGTTTGTATTTTCACTGCTGTATATTTATTTCTATTTTGTAGTAAATAAAATGTTTTTACAGTTTGAAAAAGATGATGATGTACTAAGTACTATGTCTGCAATATGTGGAGAACATACATCAGATATATGGAGAAAACTTGTAAAAAGTGATAGAACTGATTACAAAACTGCCACATATCTTTTACTTTTAGACAGGAAGTTTCGTGGACTATCACTTCGAATATCATCTTCAGCAAAATCTCATTTTAAATCTGAGGTAATATATTTGTTTTAAATGTTAATTTCTAAAAGTCAATTAAAATTATTTTATCTCATTATTTTTAGTGTGATGCAGGAGGTAATGGTATAAATAAACTTGATTATTCTCCAAAAAGTAAACCTGTTAGATCACCAATAATACCACTTGGCCCTACTTTTAAGGTTTTACCTAAAACACCTGAAACAGGTAGATTTCACACATTTTCGTATATTTTTCAAATTAATATATCTATATTATTAGTGATTATTACTGTATTATTTTTCATATAGCAAAAAATTTCATGGAACCACATTTACCTGGTAGAAAACGACTTAGAAGTAAGGAAGGAGATGATATATGTTCTCCTGGTATGTTTTGTAAATTACATTAATTTTTTTTTTTATTACTAATATAATGGTACTCTTTCTTTCTCCTTAACAGCTACTTTTTATTACGAAAAATTTTATTTATGGTGTCTATTTATTTTCATTAAAAAACTTTTAGAGATATTGGTGTTTTATTACAGACATGTTATTTAGTTTTATAATATATCTTCTAAAGTTTACTTCTAATTAGGTGATACTAGCCACCTAATTAGAAACTTTAATGAAAGTTTCCGAGTGCCATAAATTGGTGTACTTGTGTGAAAAGCAGATAATTAGAGAGGAGCAACGACTTGTGAACAAACACAATTTGGAGTTACAAATAGCTATGTGTAGGACTTCTTTATCCCATTCCCTTCTTTGAGATACAATACCTTTTTATTATTCCTTATCTCTTTTTCAGTTCTAATTCTAAATTATCCATGTGTTTTATGTGATTTCAATTTTATGAGTAATTTATATAATAACAATTAATACAAAATTGATTGCAGTTCCTATAAAGAGAGTTGCAGAAAAGGATAGACTTGTTTCTACTCCAACTAATACTCCAGTGTTAGATTCAAGGTATTTATATAATAATAATTATGATAACTACAAAGTGATATTTAAAATAAATATTTAGGGGACCACAGTCTTCTACACCGGGAAGTGCAAGAAAAGTAATAATGGGTTTGGAACGTGGCTTAAATCGTGTACGTTATGTTCTTACGCCAAAGAGACGCGTGAAGAATGAAAATATCGATCCTGATCAACCTAATGTACTTTCTGGAAAGGTTTGTATCTAGTTACCTATGTAACTGATAATACTGGCTCTAATTTTATTATTATGATACTTCTTTTTAAGGGTCTTTGTAATGTATCGTCAACGTCCAATGATGATCCGAAATATGTTCTTTCACAATTACGTCGTGCACTTCGTCGTAAAGGAATCATGTGTCATCAAAAAGGGTAATATTTAAAAATATTAATAATATTTTATATATTTACAATAAGAACTTTTTCCATAGGTTTATACTACAGGGAGAAACAGAAGATTGTACAGAAGACGATAAAGGTACATTGCGACCATTTTCGTCCAGAAATGCTTGTTCCTTTGAATTAGAAGTTTGCTTATTAGAGGGTGTTTCAAATAATAAATTGGTTGGTATTCGAAGAAAACGATTAAAGGGGAATGCATGGGTTTATAAACGGGTGTGTGAAGAAGTTCTCGCTTTAGCAGCTGAAGATCTTTCCGCGGAATCAGAAGGTTCAACAGAATCGAAATGTCCCATTTAAGGTTTTCCTAACATTCGTATCCTTAATGATATAGATATATATATACATATGTATATTTAAGTTTGTACATCACGAAAAGTCAGTAAGACTATTCAACTATATTTTGATCTCCACTAATTATATTAATAACTTTTAAAAGTAATGCAGATATAAGAAATATAAACTTTTGTATGTATAATTTGAGCAGATAGATGTTTATGGCAGCTTTGGTACATGCATATTTGCATTGGACGTGCCTTTCTAGAATATAGTTTCTTCTAAGAAGAAATAACCACGGGAGAAATATTACAAAAACATAAAACAATAGTAAATATTTCTCCGAACTTCGAACGATATAGTAAATTTGGAGTTCTAATGATGATTACAATCGTCAGCTGTGTAATATTGTTTATATAGTATAAGGGAATTATGAAGAAATTTTATTTCTCACGACCTTTTGTTTAATACAGTTCTGTAACAATAAACATTAAAAATGACCATTGTACATAAGGAATATATCTTGTATTAGGTATATGGAAATATTAAGATTACGAATAAAAACATGATATTTCTACAGATAAAAATTAGAGAATTCAATAATCTTGATTAAAACAACTCAGTAAAATTTGATGAAATAAGCAATAGAGCTCTTACGTGACGCAAGTTAGCAATACGATCTCGTGACGCGGCACAAAGAAACTTCTTAAAAGAGAACTACAAGCCTCAACCCTTTCCATCGGAATATGTAAAGCTCCATTTTGCGTTTACACCGCAGATATAAAATATCGCGGCTCGTTTGAACCGCGGCATCTACACGGGAACCACTATGGACAGGCGAAGTTATAAAATCACCACAAATCGATCAGCATAAAGTGGAGCCGCGTACACTTTGCTTTATGGCAGTCAAACCGACCTTTTATCTTTGCCCGCTCAATAATCGTCGGCACTGTTCGTAGGCAGTCTTGCTGAGACTATTCCGCCGAGGTTCGATTGGCATGCTCTTTTTTCTTTCCTTAAATATCGATCGAAACAAAGCGAGATCCGCAGAAAATCGAGTTGTTCTACCGAAAGACGTAAACGCAGGAATAAAGAGATTATGATTTTTTGACACTGGAACGCTGAAATAACTGGTACGCGCTTTGAGAGTAGTAAACTTAACCTTAACAGCATAGAATTTTCATGGATATATAATTCCAAACATATGATTCATTCGTACAATACAAAGTTAAGAACGTAAATAAGAATATTAGACTGGAAGATTTTTATTACGGTAATTTTTACTGCATACGATCAGAATCATCGAATCATTACGTGATCATTAACTCGATTTGAGTAATCGATTTTTCATAACAAGGAAATCGCGAATAGAGTAGAGCCTTGGGCTCTATAGGCATCGCCAGGCGAGTCGTTTACGTTGAATAATATCTCAGTGGGGTGCGTGTTTTATGAGTCGGTCGCCGATTAATTAAACGGGTTATTTCGCGAAATTAATCAAACGGCACGGAGACAAAAAGCGTGGACGATATAAATGAAGCAACCGGGCGAGACGCAGACCTAAGTCGTCTGGGCATAAATTACAATTAACCGTAGCATGCGTGCGCGTTCGCGTGAGCGCACGCACGTGCAACTTACGGTATTAAATTCATCCTGCATTTTATCGAGACGCGAAGAGTATCTCGCGTTATCATCGGTGGCTATATGCGAATCCTCGTGCGACTTTTTTACTCAACCCAATCGAAGATGTTTGCAGGCTAATAATTAAGCTGTCTAACGATTATTACGACGCCATTTGCATATCACGCGGTCGCCTCAAGGTAATGTGCAATTTCTACGAAAGGAAATTTTGAAAAGATCGATTTACGATATTGATTTCGAATGGGTTAGAAAAAAATCGAAACCAGTTTTGGTAAGCTACTCACATTATTTTATAGATTGTACGTGACCATTACAAATGGACCCCTCCTCTTGCTTCTTTTGTTTACCATAGAATTAATATCATAGATTGGAAACTTTCGAAATATTGCTTTATTAAGAAATATTTCTTATATAGATAGGATTGTTCAACGAGAATAAAGAAACTAGTAACATAAAGTATCCTAATTAAAATATCGACATTCCTTCGACAATATCACTGAAATTCTATGCACTCTATTGCAGATTATTATATAAATTTGATGCATGCGGACAAGGACCATCGATTTCTTACCTGATTATGGAGTTACTTCATGTTTCATCGTTACGGTTGTTCGCATGGAAAAAAGGATACGAGTGAAGCAGACTGTAGTTCATGAACGTGTATACGCGTACGTTATTCACCACGTGCCCTTCGTTCTCGCCAATGGATCGGGTGTCGTACACCGGCTCGTACCAATTACCGTCTGGCCGCCAGTTAATTAAGGATTGGGGCAATGAGGCCCGGCGATGCAGTTTCCGTGATAATGATTATCTGCGACGGTAATTGAGCGAGCTGTTACGCCGGCAAGCAAACCGAGACACGAGAGAACGTAGAATAAAGAAGAACCAGGAAATTTCTAACATCTTATTTTTGGGAGATTCTGGGAAAGAAGGAAAATTAATATTATCGTTAGATCAAGGTCAAAATTAGATAGTTTAATCGATCATTGACTTTTATTACTTAATTTACCGTTATATCTTTTTGTCAGATATATGATTATTAATATATATTTCTAATCTACGTTGAGAATGGTTTCCATTTATCATATCGATGATATTTCTATTTCCTCGTTAATGTTATCTGTTCTGTAGCTCAAGTTCATTTGACCCCAAACAGGTGGTGAATATCCGGACGAAGAATAAAGGAAGGAAACGAAGTAATTAACGTCTTTATAAAAAACCGACGGAGGAAAAACGCCATGCATCGTTCCCTCACGTATATACGGTACTATCAGAATAGCGATTAAAAAAAGAACATTTATTCTTACACCTTATATTACAAATCATTTAGGATTTCAATCATTAGGTCTACTTTTTAACGTATTACTTATATACTTTCAGGTTATATCCGCCTACGATCTATCTCTGTAAAAGCATAGATTAATCGCCTGTTCTTTATCTGCATACGTTCCTGAAGCACCAGTAAGGTGAATAATTCTGGCAGCAAAAGTAAGAAGGAAAGTCTTGGTAGCTCTTTAACTTCAACCATTAACCTTTTCTTAACACATTTCTTATATAGCTTTAAATTAAATCCTCCAATGATTCACCTTTGTAGAAGCATAGATTAATCGTCTTTTCTTTATCTGCATAGGTTTCTGAAGCAGCAGCGAGGTGAATAATTCTAGCAGCAAAGGTAAGAGGGGAAGTCTTGGTAGCCGCGAGGCGAGCCTGCAGGTAAAACGGCTGGACGAGACCGCGTGGATGTGTGCGGACATGAACAGGTACGTTCGTAGACGAAGAAAAGGTAAGGGTGGCACGCGCGGCCCGCTTCTATCGCTTCCGGGCATCAGCGTGCTCGCGAGCCGCGGCTAATTGCTCTTTAATGCAAGCGAGCGAGCGAGCGCGTTGCTTTTCTTAGACGCCGAGGGAAACTGACCGCCGTCCTGGACGCTATAAGAAACAGAATATGCGAGATTTATGCCGGCCCCCGGACTTTTCGTCACGCTTTGTTTGGAGCACGGTTCTAGTTTTGAGAAAACTCTCGGGTCTCTTCCTTCTTTTTAATTGCGACGGATAACTGTGCTTTTGATACCAATCTAGAGTTGGATACTTAAATCACAGTATCGTTAATAAGAAGGATACGCGTTCTAGCAGCCATTGCTTAAATCGAGGAGTAAAAACTTTCTCGTTCAAATGGTGAACTGGTCACGATATGAACTCAATAGCACAGCATTTTTCTACCGGGTACCATCGTTTTTCCAAGTTTCCATATATGATAATATTACTTTACAACTCCTCGTAATAATGTTTTAATTTTTTCCAGGTTTTTCAACTACTTCGTCTACTAAATTCACCACAATCGCAAATTCTTTTATATCTACGTCTCCATTAAATATTCCTTCACGTGTCCATCCCAAAGTTTCCCAAAGTGAAACAATTCTGTCCATTCGAAGCTTTTCTCAATTGCGATATTCACTCGCACGGAATTACGATCGCTTGAAGCCATCCAAAGTCAAGCATCGTTATGCAGCTTGCACACGGAAGGAAGGAAGGAAGGCAAGGAGTGCTAATCATCCGGTTTACCCGGCTTTTTTTTCGGGTCAGCCCCGGTTGTTTATTCGGCCCCAGGCCGCGTACACGGGGTATAACGCTGCCAGCAAAAATGAAGGGCAGAAAGCTCGATTCGTCGAGGCATGACCAACGGAGTCCAGCAGAAGCTCATACATATGTAGACGACTCGGCCCGGACACCGGGAACTGTGGGGAGGACCCTCCGGAAAAATGAATATGCAGCCCCATAGAGGGTATTATTTTATAAAATTTACTATCCTGGCCAGGTATTATGTACTTTTCCGTCGTCCATTCTTCGCTGTGAACCGAATGCACGTTAACGAGCCTTTCTCGACAGATGTGCCTCCGCGACCAACCACGTTTTCCACCACGAGAATCGACGTAAAGTAGAGAAGCACGATTTCAAGAGAATTTGATAGACGAAGGTATTTCGAAAGCTATGTTTCATATTTTTGATGGAGTTACTAAGAGTCAGGTTCCTATTAATACAGGATTAAAAGAATTATTTAATTATTAAACGTGGTATTTTTTAATTATTATTTCGCGAACATTAATCTCGAGTTTAAATAATTTTCATAACTTTCTATAATCTTCACTTGGAATTACATTTCCTCGATTGAACACGTTATTCATTTTTATCTCCGCATTGTATTTAATAAATAATCTTTATATTTATCGCTGTCACGGTCGTCGAAATAAATGATCGACCGATTCCTCATCTGCATCCGGACGCGGTGGAAAAGTTTGACGAGGGTCTAATTGCGAATAAACTCGTGTACGGCGTCTTCCTTTCGTTTTCGTGGAGAGTTTGTACGGCGGGGCGGCTGCTTCTATAAA